AATGACTTTACTTTCCCACCGCCAAAGTTTTTCTCATCAGAATCCATCTTGCATATTTATAAATCTACCATTCATCCGGGCATTGAATATTGCTGCCATATCTGGTCTGGTGCTCCTGTTATATATCTTGAGATTCTCAACAAAATCCAAAGAATGTAATGTCATTGGTCCTCACCTAGAATAATGACTTTACTTTCCCACCGCCAAAGTTTTTCTCATCAGAATCCATCTTGCATATTTATAAATCTACCATTCATCCGGGCATTGAATATTGCTGCCATATCTGGTCTGGTGCTCCTGTTATATATCTTGAGATTCTCAACAAAATCCAAAGAATGTAATGTCATTGGTCCTCACCTAGAATAATGACTTTACTTTCCCACCGCCAAAGTTTTTCTCATCAGAATCCATCTTGCATATTTATAAATCTACCATTCATCCGGGCATTGAATATTGCTGCCATATCTGGTCTGGTGCTCCTGTTATATATCTTGAGATTCTCAACAAAATCCAAAGAATGTAATGTCATTGGTCCTCACCTAGAATAATGACTTTTACTTTCCCACCGCCAAAGATTTTTCTCATCAGAATCCATCTTGCATATTTATAAATCTACCATTCATCCGGGCATTGAATATTGCTGCCATATCTGGTCTGGTGCTCCTGTTATATATCTTGAGATTCTCAACAAAATCCAAAGAATGTAATGTCATTGGTCCTCACCTAGAATAATGACTTTACTTTCCCACCGCCAAAGTTTTCTCATCAGAATCCATCTTGCATATTTATAAATCTACCATTCATCCGGGCATTGAATATTGCTGCCATATCTGGTCTGGTGCTCCTGTTATATATCTTGAGATTCTCAACAAAATCCAAAGAATGTAATGTCATTGGTCCTCACCTAGAATAATGACTTTACTTTCCCACCGCCAAAGTTTTTCTCATCAGAATCCATCTTGCATATTTATAAATCTACCATTCATCCGGGCATTGAATATTGCTGCCATATCTGGTCTGGTGCTCCTGTTATATATCTTGAGATTCTCAACAAAATCCAAAGAATGTAATGTCATTGGTCCTCACCTAGAATAATGACTTTACTTTCCCACCGCCAAAGTTTTTCTCATCAGAATCCATCTTGCATATTTATAAATCTACCATTCATCCGGGCATTGAATATTGCTGCCATATCTGGTCTGGTGCTCCTGTTATATATCTTGAGATTCTCAACAAAATCCAAAGAATGTAATGTCATTGGTCCTCATAGAATAATGGTCTTTCCCACCGCCAAAGTTTTTTCTCAGTGCTCAGAATCCATCTTTATTTATAAATCTACCATTCATCCCAAATATTGCTTTTATCTGGTCTGGTGCTCCTGTTATATATCTTGAGATTCTCAACAAAATCCAAAGAATGTAATGTCATTGGTCCTCACCTAGAATAATTTTACTTTCCCATAAAGTTTTCTCATCAGAATCCATCTTGCATATTTATAAATCTACCATTCATCCGGGCATTGAATATTGCTGCCATATCTGGTCTGGTGCTCCTGTTATATATCTTGAGATTCTCAACAAAATCCAAAAGAATGTAATGTCATTGGTCCTCACCTAGAATAATGACTTTACTTTCCCACCGCCAAAGTTTTTCTCATCAGAATCCATCTTGCATATTTATAAATCTACCATTCATCCGGGCATTGAATATTGCTGCCATATCTGGTCTGGTGCTCCTGTTATATATCTTGAGATTCTCAACAAAATCCAAAGAATGTAATGTCATTGGTCCTCACCTAGACTAATGAATTTACTTTCCCACCGCCAAAGTTTTTCTCATCAAAATCCATCTTGCACATTTGTAAATCTACCATTCGTCCGGGCATTGAATATTGCTGCCATATCTGGTCTGGTGCTCCTGTTATATATCTTGAGATTCTTGCGAAAACATTAAAAAGGATTTGTAATAATTATCTTAGAATCGCTTCGCTGTAACGTTTAAATAAATCCGTTCTGAGGACACGTCCTTATTTTCCGCCATTTTTCTAAGTTTTTTTTGTTGCACAATCTTTTTTCTGTTCATAATCTAATTTGCGCTACTTTATGAAATAAACTCCTAAGAGGATACTTTCTCGATCGCCATAATCTTAGATCTTTCATGCGTTATCTTTTCTCATTATCTACACTCTTTGCTTCCTCTCTTACGTCCATAAAACCACCTGATTCCCCAAACCTCAGCCGTTGTGCCCTCCGGCCTTCTTCAGGTGGTTGGAATGTCTCACTTAACCCTTTATTACGCTCAGGAGAGAAAAGGGAGATCACCACCCTCTGAGGGATCAGGTTGATAGTCAAAGAACACCATTTGAAAACTCGTAAACTTAAGGAATCAGCACATATGCTAGGCCACATAAATCTCCGGAGCCGACCAAGCATAGAAATGAATACAATATGGGAACCAGTAATAAGACGTGCCAGAGAAAAGCAATAATAACAACAAAAAATTGCAATATGAACTGTGGTAAAAACATGCAATGATAACAGCAAAAATTGCAATTGGTTATATGCAGTGACAGGACCCAAAGAGTGTGAGTTCAATACCCGGTTAACGCAGTGGAGAACTTGGAAAGCTGAATTAATAGGAGATAACTGATAACTGACATCCATTAGACATGGAAGTGGAACTAGAACAGTCTACCCCAGTGAGCGAAATAAAGGGTTCAGTTCGACATTCCGAACACCTGAAGAAGGCCGGAGCGTACAACGGCCGAAATACTGAAGCAAGAAATAATAAAAAAAAGAATTGTCGTGTTATTCACATCACTCATAATTTGGGGTCGTCTTTTATGCCGTTACAATTTTTAAAAATATATCTTTGTTTCACGTTTACAAAAGTTACACCATTTTTGCTGTTACAATTTAAATGATTATATTGGACATTGTTTTGTTTTTTCACTTCCTAGATATATTTATGTCTGACTGACTTTTTAATGACTTAAGGACGAAGTCGAGTTCTTACGCACATCTTTTGCTTTATTATTTGGGAATTGCCATGTATTCTTTTTGAAGTATATGACTCACCTCAGATGTTGTCAAAATAGACTTTGCACTCAGTGCTATACTGGGGCTTCAGAGAACACAGTTGTATCAGCGGGTTGACCCGAAAGTTAACTTCCTACCCACTAGGTGCAGATCTATGATGTCAGATTTGGTTCATAACATGTAAACATATGGTCAACCCAGCTGCGCCGAGGATGTGCACGCGTGGGAAAAACCATATCACAGATATATAATCACCTAACCGAGATGGAAAAAAGAGACAGTTTCTTTTATGTTGTGGTGACTGTATAATCTACGTTCGGAGAAAACCCGAAAGCCACACACTCGTTGGCCGACAGTGAGTCTAGAGTTGAATAAACAACGTATGTTTACGTTTGCGAGATTTGGTTTTGTCTTGTACAGCCTGAACGTTACACGGGGAAAGACTGTCAATTGTTTTCTCGTTGCCTTCTTTAGGTTTTGAACCCAAGGTTCACATTTTCGTCGATTGGCTGATGCCCCTAGTTAGAGAACCCAGCCGTCCTGGATATGACGATGAATTACATCCGGCAGCAAGGCCTCTTAGTTGCTGTTGTTCCCAGGTGTAACCTGGCTCAGGGTGGTAGCACGTCTAAGGGTCCCAACTACAGGCAATTAGTTAAATCCCAAACTGGGGTCAAAACACTATGAAAGGATAAAATAGATTTTTATATAAAAATTCCAGCAATAGACTTTTTGAAACACAAATAATATTACCAGCAATACATTTGACCGTCGACAAAAAACTCTCTACAAAAATATGTCAAAACCTTATCTACAAACTGATTTCTTCAACTGATTCATGTTCTACTCATACGAAACTATCCTAAAAATCTTGTCGGCATTAAATAACTCATTGAGGTTGATAAGCCGGAAAACACAACATACGAAACTAGGGAGCCCATTCCGTTGTACTATTTAACCCATGGTTGGGAGAGAGGAAAAACGAAGTCTCAAATGCATTAGTGCGAAAGTGAATGCGGCTGAGTAAGCCGGAAATTGAACTCAGTTCGTCGATTTCATTTCTGCACCAGTAACCATTTCGTTAGCTGCACCCTCTATTCCAAAATTTTAATTTAAAGGTCGCATTAGAATGTAAAGAATGCATCAACGTCGCGATGAAAATTCACAAATGAGAAATGACTTTGCAAAAATTAAATGTTAAATGATTTTTCTTTTCGTCTCTAATAATATAACACCGACGCTGCATGATCTTTTCGATGGCTACCTGCAACGCCAGGGCAACATCTGGTTTTGAATTCAAAATTGACTGTTTGACAAATGCGGCTAAAAGGCAGAGTTTGTTCTACAATTTAATCCATACCTGGGGCAGAGGAGCTGGATTTATATGAGGGTATTTGGTCGGAAATGAATTTAATGAACACGTCTGAAATTCGAACTCGGCTCGCGCGATTTATTGTTCCGAACCGATCGCCATCACGCCACCTGCACCGCCATTTTGTCTCTAACAGAGTTCTATTGTAAAAGAAGATTATCTTTTTCTTTCTGAAATCATCTCATGCAATAAAATGTAAGCTAAAGAGGCTCACTATTTCGTCACTAAACATTTCTCTTCCCGAAATACTAGATAGAATCTGAAACATTTTAACAATAGGATTTTATAAGCCTTTTTTGCTTTGGGCAAATCTGCCATAAATTGGAGCTAATAATTTTCGTGCAACAACCAGTCTTTTGAACTGTAAAACTTGCCAATACTCTGTTGAGCTGCCTAACTAGGCGGCCATGTTTACGCGCGATAATTCGTCGGTAATAATGAGCGTCCATTAATTAGTCGAATCAAGAGAAAGATGTTGCGTAAACGGTACTGATTTCGAAGAATTTGCTAGAATGGAAAGCGAAAGATAACCACAATATGTTTAGATATCTTAAGGCTGTTCTTCGCAGTGAGGATTCTTTAAGTGCTTAATGGTAATAAAAAGCGACGTTGTCATTCCCCAACACCGTCTCTCTTTACTTTCTTTCTCTGCCTGCTCACACAACATGGCCGCCAGACGTAATGATAATTCCAAATTGTCTCTTGAATTCCAGGTTCTCATCCAAGACATCTTTGACCATATATCGGTTTTCTTTCATATTTTTTTCTCATTTTCTTCTTCATTCATGTTTCTTATTTGTTTCTTTCATGTTTTTTCATTCATTCATTACATCTTTTTTTTTTTTCTCTTCATTTTTATTCTTTTCTTTCTTTATATTTTTCGTTCGTATTTCTTTCTTTCTTTTTGTTTGTTTGTTTGTTTGTTTCTTTTTCTTTCTTTCTTTCTTTCTTTCTTTATCTTTCTTTCTTTCTTTCTTTTTGTTTGTTTGTTTGTTTCTTTCTTTCTTTTTCTTTCTTTCTTTCTTTCTTTTTGTTTGTTTGTTTGTTTGTTTCTTTCTTTTTTTTCTTTCTTTCTTTCTTTCTTTCTTTCTTTCTTTCTTTCTTTCTTTCTTTCTTTCTTTCTTATTCTGCATTGTTATACTTTTAATAAACTTTTCTTTCATATTTCTTTTTTCCCCCAAACTTGCTTCTTGTGTCTGTCTGTCTGTCTGTCTGTCTTTCTTTCTTTCTTTCTTTCTTTCTTTCTTTGTTTCTTGCTTGTTTCAGTGTCTTTCTTTCTTTTCCTCATTCATTCATTATTTCTGTCTTTATTATTATTTGTTATTCTTTTTGGAATTCTTTCTTTCTTTCTTTCTTTCTTTCTTTCTTTTTTCTTCATTCATTACTTCCTCCCATATTATTATTCTTTCTTTCTTTCTTTCTTGATAACTTCCTGGTTCCAGTGTCTATCTTCTTTCTTTCTTTCTTTCTTTCTTTCTTTATTTCTTTCTTTCTTTCTTTCTTTCTTTCTTATTATTCGTTCTTCTTTTTTGTATTGTTTCTTTTTCTTCTTTGTTTGTTTGTTTGTTTCTTTCTTTCTTTCTTGCTTGTTTCAGTGTCTTTCTTTTTTTCTTTCTTTTTCTTCATTCATTCATTACTTCTGTCTTTATTATTATTTGTTATCCTTTTCGGTATTCTTTCTTTTTTTCTTTTTTCTTTTTCTTCATTTATTCATTACTTCTTCCATTATTATTATTCGTTATTCCTTCTTTCTTTCTTTCTTTCTTTCTTTCTTTCTTTCTTTCTTTCTTTCTTTCTCACACCTACGTCTTTTCGCCATTCCAAGTAATCATGGACATTATCATTCACGACCCCCCCCCCACTAATCGCATCCATTGCTATAAAATCCTTCTCGCCCTTGTGGTAATGAAAACAGAAAATCGCATCATCTTTAACAACATTTGCCGGAATCACACAATGGTTAGCGCATCGTGCGTCAAGCTGTGTAATTAGGGTTTTCTATAATTGTGCTGCATCGGTGACACTCATTTGCATGGGAAAAATGTAGTTATTTAACATGAAAGAAAAAGCAATGCTTCCACCATATACATTTTGTCAAATTCTGTCTAACCGGAGAAGATACCTTAATTACCTTAATTACCTTAGCCATGCAGGTAATGTCGACATGTTGTTGGTTTCACATAAAATAACTGATTAAAATAGGAATTGTAAAAATTTAAGTGGTGTAATGAATAGCAGCGGAGAGCTGAGTTCGAATTCCAGTCGAATCCATTACATTCACTTATATGCTAATACCTTGGGAATGCTATGAACCCACCCCCAGCTATGGATAAATAGCAGGACAAACTGGGTTCATGTGCTAGTACCTTGGGGATGGTATGAATCCCCCCAGCTATGGATAACTAGCAGGACAGACCGGGTTCTATAACCTTGGATGGTAACAGGTCTACCGCAGAAAGAAATGGCAAGCTACTGAGCGAAAAATCTGCCTCGTCAGTCATGTATCAAAAGATATATGATCGGGTAAGCGTGTATCACGCATGGCACATAACTGACAGAAAAATTTAAGATACAAGGTGTTAGTGAAAATATCTCGACCAGGCCCACTTCCCAAAATGTGACCAGATAACGAAATATTAATATTTATTTTATAAACACTTCTTGGTCAGGCTGAGAGCTTTTCAGCGAACCCGTATGTTCCGTAAAAGATATTTCTCAATTGCAGTAAATCCACTGCTGGATCAAAGGTTCATAGACTGACAATGAGGAAGCGATCCTAGGGCTGTAAAATCTTGCATGGATTCATTTAAATTCTTCTTAACGTATTCCAGGTAAACCGATGTCTGTCTGTTCAAGATTGTACAACCTGTTGGCCCAAAACGCCATCATCAGCAGATATGACGTCATCATCAGCAGATATGACGTCATCATCAGCAGATATGGCATCATCATCAGCAGATATGACGTCATCATCAGCAGATATGGCGTCATCATCAGCAGATATGACGTCATCATCAGCAGATATGGCGTCATCATCACCGTGATACTGGTCCCCAGTCAGGTGTTTTTTTATGTTGGTGAACAGATCAGCAACTATGAATGGTATACATCAAAATCAACCAACTACCCCATTTTAAATATCTGGGAAATGTTTTAACAGAGGACGGAAGATGTGACACCGAAATCCGAAGTCGCATCTAGATAGAGAAAGATGCCTTTCAAAAGTTAAAAAAATATAAAGAAACAGGAAAATTTCGTTCTAAACAAAGAAAAGAGTATTGAACTGTTATGAGATACGATAATAAAATCTGGACAATCTCATCAAAGCTGAAGAAGAGACATGAGGAAACAGAAATGCAGTTCTACAGAAGGATGCTGAGGATATCATGGACTGAACTTATGAGCAATGACAAAGTTTTCAAGAAGATAAAAACTTAGAATCAGAAAGAGACAGTTGATATTTCTAGGGTATATAATGAGGAAAGGCGGCTTGGAAAATTTAACACTCACAGGACACGTTGAAGTCAAGAGGAACAGGAAAGCCGCGAACCTATCTAATGAGTTTGTATAAATGGTTGGCAGAGCAAGGATTATGAGAGATAGCAAAACGACAAACACTGCTAACAGCTACAAAGGAAAGGAAGTTGTGGAGAACCGTGAAGGGACACTGCACAGGGTGTTATCAAGTACCTGCAGAAAAAAGGGTTTAGCCTCAAGGGTATTCATGATGACCGTGTTGCTATATTAAGAGATGTATATCATTCATAGTTGCTGATAATCATTCATTCTGTCTTCATAGGATTGATGCTTAGTCCTTTCTTCTCTCTTTCCTTTACTACATTCTAAAAGAGTTCCTATAGTATACTTTCCCTGTCTGATATCAAAACTGCGTTATCTGCATATCTAGTAAGAGTGTGTCCGCCAATAATGTAAATAATTATTAATATTATTGTTTTTACTTGTTGTTACTTTATCCTCTATATTCCGACATAGTAAGAAAAACTAAAACTATTTCTACACACACACACACACACATATGAACACATACACACACACATACAAACACCCACATACAAACACACACATCCAAACACACACTATACAGGTAAGCATCAGCATATTTTGCTGTAATCAGATGTACAATAATTACAAGGACAAATTCTTTATACGATCAAGCGTTAAACGTCATATTTCTGCCGTAAATTCCGAAAAACATGTTAAACTTATATTAAAAACAATGGAAAAATTGAAAAGATTGCAATCACTAATCAAAATAACCGTATCAAATCTAAACTAGCGATGATCGATATAGTGTATCAATTCCACTGTCCAGTACAAGACTGTTTCTTGTTATGAATCAATTAGCTATATCAGTTATAGCACCACCAGCTTGAGTAGACGCCTCACCTGTCACTCATCTGAACTTTGTGCCATAAAAAGCCCATACAAAATACATACATATATACATATATATATATATATATATATATATATATATTATCTGTCGTATTCAATGAAATGTGCATGAAAAGATTGCTGCCTAAATGCACCAATATATATATATATATATATATATATATATATATATATATCAGGACATCCACAATATATATATATATATATATATCTATCAAGGACATCGACAATTTAAATATATATATATATATATATATATATATATATATATATATATATATATTTTTTATTTTAGGCAGCAATCCTTCTTTCATGTACATTTTATTGAATGAGACAGATAGTATGTCAGTTTTAAATCATTTATCATCCGAAAAAATATTACATTACATGAGAAATTGTATAAAAAACTAAATCAAAGTACCTTGTCTGCCGTATTCAATGAAATGTGAATATATATATATATATATATATATATATATATATATATATATATATATATATATATATATATATATATCCAAGTACAGGGATGGTTCACATGGAATAAAATTAAAAGAATGGTCAATACCGAGTGGAGATAATAATATTTATTCAATTTATAACATATCCATGTTATATGATCATATGTTTCAATTTTGTTTCGATACTTCTGGTGGTTTAAGACACTTGATGTGTGGAAACAAAATTGCAACTTCTATAGTGATTATATAACATGCATATATTATAAATTTGAATAAATATTATATTATATATATATATATATATATATATATATATATATATATATATATATATATATCGCGTCTGACAAATGCGGACTTAGTAAAATAAAGTTGCTGAACTATTATGGACACATATGTATCTCCCGAGGCCAGCAAGTGTTTTTGCAAACGTTTAGACACAAGGGACGTGGTTAAGGGATCAATTGTCACATTTTTGCGCGTTCGTTTTTAATGCGTGCGACAATGTCACAGTGACAGGCAAAAGTTAAAAGTGGAAGACAGATTAGCCACAAGTGTACACGAACGAAAAATGTAACGCAGTTATTTATTTATTTTACTTTTTCTCTACTTAGTGTATTGAGCACTCTTCATTTTAACTTATTGCTCACTGTTTTTGTTTTTGTTTCTTTATACCAGAAACTTAAGCAAGTGGCCGATTTCTTTCGCACACAATGATGCACACACACACAATGAGGCACACACACAGAGACACACACACACACATATATATTATATATATACAATATATATATATATTTATATTTATCATATATTTTATTAATATATTTATATATAATATAATTTATTATATTATATATATATATTAATATATATATATATATATATATAAAATATATATATATTTTACACACACACAAACACACACACACACACACACACACACACACACACATATATATATATATATATATATATATATATATATATATATTACTTTCCCTTTCTTCCATTTTACCTAGGATGCCAATTTATTTGAAAATTGTGCTATCTAGATTTTTCCCCACCGAGTTTAAATTTACATAATATATATATATATATATATATATATATATATATATATATATATATATATAGTGTATCACAAAAGTGAGTACACCCCTCACATTTCTTCAAATATTTAAGTATATCTCTTCATGGGACAGCACTGAAAAAATTACCTTTTGACACAATGAAAAGTAGTCTGTCTGCAGCATTTATAACAGAGTTAATTTCTTTTCCCATCAAAATAACTCAAAATATAGCGATTAAAAGCTAAATCTCTGGCAACAAAAGTGAGTACACCCCTAAGAAACTACACCCCTAAATGTCTAAATTGAGTACTGCTTTTCATTTTCCCTCCAAAATGTCATGTGACTCATTAGTGTAACTATGCCCATGTGTTCATGGTGTATTCAAATTTGTAGTGCTGCTCTAACACTCTCTCTTACCGGTCACTGAAAGTTCCAACATGGCACCACATGGAAAAGAACTCTCTGAGGATCTTAAAACGCGTATTGTTGCACTACATAAAGATGGCCAAGGCTACAAGAAGATTGCCAACACCCTGAAACTGAGCTGCAGCACAGTGGCTAAGATCATCCAGCATTTTAAAAGAGCAAGGTCCACTCAGAACAGGCCTCGGGTAGGTCGTCCAAAGAAGCTGAGCGCACGTGCTGAGCGTCACATCCAAATGATTTCTTTGAAAGATTGGCGTAGGAGTGCTATTAGCATTGCTGCAGAGATTAAAGGGATTGGGATTCAGCCTGTTAGTGTTCAGACCATACGCCGCACACTACATCAAATTGGTGTGCATGGCTGTCACCCCAGGAGGAAGCCTCTTCTGAAGGCAATACAGAAGAAAGCCCGCAAACAGTTTGCGGAAGATATGTCAACAAAGCCCATAGATTACTGGAACCATGTCCTATGGTATGATGAGACGAAATTTA